AATGTCGACATCAAAAAATATAAATTATAAACGTATGAAATCACCCTTTTATAGTGTTTGACTGTGAAATGACACCACTTTTTAAATGTTTGAATGTTTTACAGATAGTTGCTAAATTACTTAAAAGAAAATAAAATGCACATTATTGATTTAAAAAAATAGTTAAATAATTTTTTAACTCATATTTTAGAGTTATCAATGTTTTAGTAAATTATAGATGATATCAAATAAATCATAGAAGTTCTTTTTTATTATTAATTTGCATGTATGACTGTTAAAAACCAACAACAACAGACTGTAAGTGTAAACAATGTCAAAAATATATTTTCTACAATAAATAAATAGTTCTTTGTAATGTGTACAGTGTTTTTGCATAAAATGATGCTTTTTTTGTATTTAATTGAGAAGAAAACAGTTATTTTACTATTTGCTATTATTTTAATGAACAAATATGTATGTTAAGGTTAAAAAAAATTTATTTGATAAATAATTTTCCTAGATTTTTGTGTGTGTTATGTTAAATTGCAGATAATATCTAATAAAAAACAAACCAAACATAGTGTCCAACTCAAAAATCTGCATTATTCCAAATGATAACTTGTTCTTTTACTGTATATGAATTTCTTTTAGAGCGAGTTCTGTTCAGTTCTGTTCAGTTCTGTTCAGTTCTGTTCACAGTATTTTCACCAAGATGTTTTTTTTAGTGCAACTTTAAAGGGGAATTCTGAAGAAACAGCAGATTTACTAAAATGTGGTTTCTTGTTGGTTTGGAGGTTTGCATGCAGCCGGGTTTCCCCTGAGCACACACATTCCTCAGATACACACTCTGATCATCATTATTATCATTATTATCATCATCACCATCATCTCCTCCTCCAGCAGCAGCAGCAGCGCTGACACATGTCACATCAGGAGTTCTCACCATTTGCAGCAGAAGTACAGAGCTCCAGCCAGACCTATAATCAGCAGGCTCACGCAGAAAACGATGACGATCACTTGCTCTTCTGCGAGCGGCTGGACCACGAAGTCCATGGTGCCACACCTGGGGCCGTGGTACCCCCCCACACACCTGCAACCAGAGCAGCAGTCAGGGCTGATTACAGGCCGGCGGCGCTGCAGGCAGACTCACACTCAGGACCGTACTTGCAGTGGTGCTCATTGAGGTCCAGCAGCAGCATGCACTGGCCGTGGTTCAGGCAGTAGTTATCAAAGGTGCTGTCACAGCTCCCCGTCATCCGCTTCACCACATGGTGGCGCTCTCCTCCTGGCCCTGGAACACCAGCAACAAGACGCTGTTGGAAACTCTGCTGGGCTTCTCAGAGGAGATTAAACACACAAACCTGGGATTAAAATCATAACTAGGCCCCAGTGTGAGTGTTTTATTTTAATAAAAGTTTAATCATGAGGATCTGAGGCTCAGGAGCAGCTTTGACATCAGTAAAGTGTCACCAGTGTTAGTGTTGGACATGTTTCAGGCAACAATTAGTCAAAAGAAAGAAAAGGAATCATGTTAAGACTTTCTTGCAGCAAAAACTACCAAACATCTGATTGTTTCAGATCCTTTAACCTCTTAAGACCCGAGCTCTCGTTTGATATGCTTTTACATTTTTATTCCTCTTTACTGTTTGATCAGATCAAATAGTAAAGAGGAATGGTAATAAAAAAAAATGCATATCACACAAGAGCTCGGGTCTTAAGAGGTTAAAGATAATAATTTATGTCTCACATCATAATTGACTGAATATTTGGGGAGTCTGTCCACATAAAGATAATAATAAAGATAATCAATATTTGCAGCCCTTATTTGTTTATTTAAATGTTTTGTGTTATTATTATTTTACCATCTTTTATTTTTCGTCCCTGTGTTTGCCGGCTTAAACTGAAGTATTTTGTCGTCTTACTCAAGTGCAAAGCAACCTGGCTCTGAAATGTGTTGAACTAGGAGGTAAAATGAGTTCAAACACGACTGTTTCAAGACATTTTACCTCCTCGTTCAACACACTGGATGTGAAAGTTAGAAATGAAAAAGCAGAGCCTAGATTGTTGACTTTTAGTCTAAATGTTGATCACTGAAGGACTCAGGTATTCAATCTCAGTCTTAACGGCTTCAAATTCCAATTAATGTTTATTTTAATCACTGATTATTTCACCAGTTATTTTCCTAATTAGTACGTCGGCTGTTTTAAAACATCTGTGAAGCGTCCAGTGTGATCAACAGTCCAAACTCGTCAGTACCTGCAGGTAGAGAGCTGCCGTCTGCCGGCCCTCTGGGCGAGACGCTCCAGGTGAGACCACAGGGCCAGAGCAGCATCACACCTGTTGAGCAGCAAACGAATCACATGAATCATCCTGGACGTAGGATCGGCAGGTCAGATGGAGTTACATCAGGCTGTGTTGTTACGGCCGTAAAGAGGGCTGCTGGTATGAACATGTGGCTCCTCGTTAAGCAAGTTGTGATCAGTTTAAAGAAGCTACTGTCCAGCTTCAGAAGCTTTAATAATCTGTAAATAAACTAGTCATAGAAAAAAGGGGGAAAAGGGAATCTGTTGCTTTTTAGATAACAAACCCTCTAAATTCAGAACTTCTAAGTGCTCACATGTGAACACTTGAACCTAACTGCATTACAGATGATTGTAAATGTGGTTTGTAAAGCTTCAATCTTTCCGTCAACGAGCTATAAACTGTGCAGCCGTTAAACAAACACCAGCTCGTTTGATGTTCTGTAACGTGCTACTGCAAGCGAGGAGACGAGGCCCATCCTCCTGATTTACTGGCTCTGTTTAGATAAGACGCCACAGCAGCATCGAGGAAAGTTTTCAGCGTGATTGGGCCAGATCTGTCAGACAGGCTGCCAGCGTCGGGTCGGGTCGTGACGTGGTGCCGCCTGCGTGACCCACATGCCTGTACCGGCCTGCACGGCTTCACGCCGCACGCCGTTCTGCAGACGCCCACATTCCAGCGGACGGAACAGAAGAACACACGGGTCTGGTTGGGACTGGTTGTGAATCCGGTGTCGGCCGGCGTCCACCCAGCCAGCCGGTTGTTATGGCTGCAGCGTTATTGTTCTGTGTTTTCACGGGCAGAGAGCTCAGCTGGTTGTTGGGTGGTTCGTTCACTCAGGTACGCTGGAAGTGGTGCCAAAGCAAATCTTCTGTGTTGCTAATTAATCAGCTCGTTTATATTGTTTGGCCGTGACTCAGTGAGAGGGCACTGCATGTTCTCGACACCCAGCTTAAGTCATCGCTTCGGCCCAGATGAGGGTTAAACTCAAAAAGCAGACTTTATGAGACTGAGAGCAGTAAAAAGAGGAAAAGGTGGAGACCTGCTCTGGTGATGATTCACCTGTAAATCACAAGAACTCAGTCAAAACAAAGCAGCAGACTCACATCCGTCCATCATCTCTACACCTTAATCCTCACNACACACGTATGCCACCCCCTAAAATCTATATGCCACCCCTTTGCCACCCCATTAGTATTTCTCTAGATCCGCCCCTGCACAGGGGTGTCCAATCCTGGTCCTGGAGGGCCACAGTCCTGCATGTTTCAGATGTGTCCCTCTTCCATCAGCTCATCATCATCAAGCTCTGCAGCAGCCTGATAACCATCCTGATCATTTGTGTGTTGGAAGACAGGAACATCTAAAACATGCAGGACTGTGGCCCTCCAGGACCAGGATTGGAGACCCCTGGACTACCAGGACGGAGCAGAACCGAAGGACTTTAGGAGCAGTTTTTGCAGACAGAGTTAAAAAGTCGTTACTGTGGGACCGTTTCTTAACCCGTCGGCCAGTTAATGCAGTTATTTTAATTGTACCAAACTTTGGACTGGAACCTCAGAAAGAAATCAAAGTGCTGCACGGTTCCACTACATACTCACATTCAGTGCACTTTCCTAAGACGTGATTGATTTTTAAAGAGCCCATGTTCTGCTTTTTGGGGTTTTCTGGGTGTTATAGATCTGCTTTTATAAAAAGGCAAAGTCACACAGGAAGTTTTTCTCAATGTCACAACAACTGGGTCGCAGCTCTGGATATTTATTTGTATGTTTTTTGAGCATCTAAATATGAATGTGGATGTTTTATGGGAGCAGCAGCAGCAGCAGCAGCAGCAGCCAGCGACAGCTGTGAATGCAGCAGTCAGGGTCAGTTCAGGTGACTCAAAGCAAACAGTCGGGGTTTTTACTGATTGTTCCGTCCGTCCAGGAAGTGAGTAGGTGTCATGTTCAGTGTGTGAACGAGGCGTATCAATGGTGTAAATGATGCAACAGCGTGGGTTTTCACGTTTGTCCAAAAGCATGACAAAGCCTGAGATCGCTGTGCGGGAAAAGGTTCAAAGAGTCTAAAGACGCCCATAACATACAGACTGGACACTTGTGCACGTGATGCTTCGAGTACGATAGGAGCTACAGCTTCCCCCTGAGGTCACCATATGTGGGGCGGCTCAGGTGGATCACAAGGTTGGCGGTTCGATCCCCCGGCAAGACACTGAACCTGAAGTTGCTCCCGATGGCAGGCAGCACCTTGTATGGCAGCTCTGTCACCACTAGTGTATGAATGTGTGTGAATGAGTAAAACAGTAAAACATTGTAAAGCGCTTTGGATAAGAGCGTTAGATAAGTGCAGACCATTTACCATTTAGATGTGCTGGTCTTGCTTTAAAGATAACAGGATAGCTGACAAATCAAAAGCACCACAGACAGACTTGTTCACTGCTTTTGTTTTTATTTTGACGGAAAAAAAAAAGACTGAACAGATTTCTACAAAGTGATTCAGTCAATCAGAAACCAGGACTCACTCGTCTCTTTATCGCATGTTTTTGAGGACTGATGTGCCAGATTGCTTCCATTGATGGATTTAACTGCACTACAGCTGATATATATATAATTTCTGGGTGTCCATTGGCTGGACTGGTGCTTAAACCAGCTCGTAGTGCTCGTCTCTGCAGCACTGATTCATCTTTATACCACAATCACTGAGATGCATTAACTGACCTCAGATCATTTCCGTTTCACTAATTATTGACTCGTAGCAGCGACCGGCTGCACCTGTGTTTAGTCACCTCAAAGGGAGTGAATCACTGATTCTACATTCTGTGTGTTTTATTACTTGTAGAAATCTGTTTTCACTTTGACATGAAAAAAAAACACAAACTAAACTCTAAACGTGATTTAATGTTAAAAAGCAACCTGAGCTAAATGTGCTCGTCTTAAATCTGAAGCATGAAGGGATGTGAAATCTAGAACATTTTTATAGTTTATTAGACATTTTTTCAGCTAATACTGCAATTTCCATGTAAAAACAGTCACCAGGCAGCCTTTTGTGAGGCTTTTTCTTGCACATGTTGCTAAAGAAAGAGATTTTCTATAAAAGAAAATGCAGACAAAGGAACATACAAAAGTAAAAAAATGAGTTCTTTGCAGAAACAGATCCAGTGTACACATCAATACTCTACAATAAATTATTAAAATGAGAAAACTATCCGACGAAGCAACAGAACTGTTACACTCAGAGACCAGTTTAATGGCAGCAATAAGGATAAAACTATTTCTATAGACAGAAATGTCAACAGACTAATAAATAAAAGCCAAAGCATGCAGATGTGCTGAAGTTAAATTAGAAACACAGTAAAGGGAGCCATCAAACTTAGATTTTTATATTTGGAGGCTGATTGAAGCCAAAAGTAAACATGAACTCAGACCTCGTTGACATAAATGAGAGTGAAGAAGCTGCAGCCTGATGATAATCTGCTCTGTGGTCTCTTATCTGATGTCGCTTGCAGCTCGTTTTACTAAATTTCTTGAAGCAGAAGCCACTAAAGTCGTCCATCCTTTGCACTCACGTTCATTCGTTTCCTCTGTTTTCCTGTTTCTAACCATCATGTGGGTGGTTTCACCCACAGAAACTGTTTTTGTGCGTCTCCCTATTCATCTTTTCAAACTGAGTGTAACAGGTGCCGAAACCTTAGAACCGGTGCGGCAGGAAAACAATGTCAATGCGGCGCACAAAGCTGCAGCTTTTGGACCATTTTAATCTCTTTGTGATGAGCTCCCAGCCCGGTGAAGCCATGTGACGCACCGTGGAGCCATCCGCCAAGCCGGTCAGGAAACACCGTGGGGAGCTTTTGGTTCAGGAGAAACGGGGGAAACCCTGGCGTGGCGGTGGGAAGGACACGTCAGGCAGTCTGGACTCCTTTGTAGCCCTGCCGCTTCTGCTGACGTGGGAATCGGTTCCTCTTGTACCTGCACAGATGACAAGGCGCTTCAGTTGTTCTGCATCAAAAGGCTTTAATTACATCACTGAGCTTAAGAGGTGCTTTGAAACCCCTTCAGTAAAATGGAAAGCGTGGGCTGAAGGGACTCGGGTGTCTGAATAATGATCGTCCTCTGGGCTTCGACGTGTCGCTGCATGACGGAGGAATCTGGGGAAAGACTTTACGTCATGAGCTGCTCGGTTTGAAGTAAAAAGTAAACCTGCAGGTTTGACATGATGAAATCTGGTGTCAGGATCACCCTCAGCAGCCACCATCACGCCTGATTCAGAGGAACATGCAGGACGCTGACAACAACAAGCATCAGGGCGCCGAGATCTGACATGTAACAGCTGCTGGAAACTTCAAAACAAGATATTTAAGGACACAGTGGAAGAAATAATGTGTTTTTAACTGTTTTTAGATTGACAATTTACTATTATTTAAAAGGTTTTCCCTCTTTTTTTGAACTACAGAGAATTCTGAGTAAAATCACATAAAAGTATTTATATGTCATGACATCAAAAAATATAAATTATAAACGTATGAAATCACCCTTTTATAGTGTTTGACTGTGAAATGACACCACTTTTTAAATGTTTGAATGTTTTACAGATAGTTGCTAAATTACTTAAAAGAAAATAAAATGCACATTATTGATTTAAAAAAATAGTTAAATAATTTTTTAACTCATATTTTAGAGTTATCAATGTTTTAGTAAATTATAGATGATATCAAATAAATCAAAGAAGTTCTTTTTTATTATTAATTTGCATGTATGACTGTTAAAAACCAACAACAACAGACTGTAAGTGTAAACAATGTCAAAAATATATTTTCTACAATAAATAAATAGTTCTTTGTAATGTGTACAGTGTTTTTGCATAAAATGATGCTTTTTTTGTATTTAATTGAGAAGAAAACAGTTATTTTACTATTTGCTATTATTTTAATGAACAAATATGTATGTTAAGGTTAAAAAAAATTTATTTGATAAATAATTTTCCTAGATTTTTGTGTGTGTTATGTTAAATTGCAGATAATATCTAATAAAAAACAAACCAAACAT